GAATGGATAGTCATTGTCAACGACTTGGTCTTTCGACCAGTATACTCCTTCCTACTTAGTGTGTCTGCTACTACGTTTGCTTTTCCCGGGTGATATCTAATTTCACAGTCATAATCGTTAAGTAGCTCGACCCATCGATGCTGCCTCATGTTGAGTTCTTTTTGGTTCAGTATGTGTTGAACGCTTTTATGATCAGTGTACACCACACTCTTCGTCCCGTACAAGTAGTGTCTCCAGATTTTTAGTGCGAAGACAACCGCTCCTAACTCGAGGTTGTGAGTAGTGTAGTTCGCTTCATGGGTCTTTAGCTGCCTCGAGGCATAGGCAATAACCTTACCTCGTTGCATCAAGACACAACCGAGCCCCTGATTGGATGCATCACAATATACGACAAAGTCTTCTATCCCTTCAGGAAGGGATAATACTGGCGCGGAAAGCACGGAAAAGGGCGTAGGGGTATGAACTCACCGGACGAGATATGTGACGGTTTGGATGCTAAGAGTTGATCCGGATCTTGTAAACACACGAGGTTCCTAAGTATAATGTAAAGATACACATTTGTATCTAATTAGGACTTAGATTGATTATTTGATAGGGACAATTGTTTCTAGTCGCGAAAACACTCCGATACAAGTGTTTGGAGGGACCCAGGTGACATTTAGGGACACATATATTTAGGATATTGAATTGGGACATCAAAGGAACACTCCTTGGGGAGTTTACGGCCACAAGACCCTCTACCCATGAGTTTACGGCCGTAAACTCATGGTGGGGTGAGATATGGCACAAAATGGCTTGTAACATTTAAGGACATTTTTCTAGGTTTGGATTTAAAGGCTTGAAATGGATTTAAATCATTAAAATGACCCATTTAAGGGAGTTTACGGCCTAGCATAGGCTCCTGGCCGTAAACTCCTAAATACTCAAGAAAAATTGTGTTTTTGGTTTCCAATCAAATCACATGTGATTGCTAAAATTGTTTCAAGACCTTACATGTGTTTACTTGATGTTTTGAAGGGATTTTTGGAGTTTACGGCCTATGAGACCCCTCTCATGGCCGTAAACTCTCTTAGAGAGTATTTCCATGTGTTTTAATGTAAAAAACTTGTTTGTAAGGACTTCTAAAATTCATTCCAAGGCTTTAGGGGTGTTATAGGGGCTAAATAACACTTTAAAATGAATTTACACCAAGCTTTAAGGAGTTTACGGCCCAAGCTCTTGCCTTGGACGTAAACTCACAATAACCCCTCAAAAATTATGTTTCAAGTGTCCAAATGCTAAAACCAATATTCTATAATTCATATCTAAGCCTTATTAGTGATTTAGAAGGGTTTAAGAGCAAGAAAACCCCATAAATATGAGTTTACGGCCCAAGCTTGTTCCTTGGCTGTAAACTCCTTCAAATCCATCAAAAACCATGTTTTAAATGTTATAAGTCCTTTCCATGAAGCCATTAAGCCATATCTAAAGTCCATTTGTGTTTAGGAAGGGTTTTAGGGCTTAAAAACCCCATTTACATGAGTTTACGGCCCAAGCATGTGCCTTGGCCATAAACTTCTTCAAATGACTCAAAATCCAAGTTTAAAATGTTACAAGTCCATTCCATGATGTCATCTAGCCATATCTAAGGTCCAATAGTGTTTAGGAAGGGTTTTTGTGCTCCAAAACCCATGTTATATGAGTTTACGGCATAGGATGGTTCCATGGCCGTAAACTCATGAATATGGTCCTAATTCATGCTTTTAACTCGAATTTGAAAGCTAGGGATGATACATAACAAGCTAGGGGAAGTACCTCAAAGATTTGGAATCTAAAATTGATGATTTGGACCCTTAAACTTGGATTTTAGGAGAGAGGTGAGAGAGAGAGTAGAGAGAGGAAGAAAAAGCTTCAAATGAGTGCTTAGATCACTTTAAATAGTGTCTAAGTTTTGGACACGGTGGAATTATACCCGATACCGGCATTAAATGAGGCTTTTGGTCGCACCCGATTAAGTTTCCGTTACCCAGCGGGGACGTTTCTAAAACTTATGAAATAAATATTTTGGGCTAATTACATGAGTTCCTAAGTGTTTTAGACACTCATTAAATTATAATAAAAATATAGGTTTAAATAATTTAACCCAAAGTGAACACGGAACGAATTTGATAACGGCGAATTTTTCGGGTAGAACGGGTTTTGGCGATGAACAACTTCGGGTTGTTACAACATGCTTTGAAAACCTTTGGAAAACTTTATAAATAAGAATTTATGACTTGTTGTCAGTTTATAAAACAAGCTTTGAAAACCTTTGGAAACCTTTAATAATCTAAAAAGGGATATTCATACTTTAAACGAGATTTGAAAACAGGATTTGAAAACCTTTAGCTGGATAAAGCAGTTTAACAATCAAAAATCTATTTTGCTATACAGTTATTAATCACATGTAAATGATATAATAACTCTATAGTTCAACTTGTAATCCCCCCCCCCCATAAAAGCATTTAAAATCATTTAAAAGGTTAATTCATGGGTATGAACTCACCTGACGTGGGTGATTCGGATGAACGGATGGTATAGGATGGTAAGTGTGAACTGAGGATTTGACCACACACGCGGATCCTATTTAACATGTAGTGATACATTTAAGTATCTAATTAGTCATTTAACAGCTAATTAAGCAAGTAAGGATGTCCTTATACATGAAAACACTTTGCTACAAGTGCTAGGAGTACCAAGGATTGCATATAAAGAGAGTATGGCCTCACATTGGAGTTTACTCCTCAAATGGTGGCCCTTAGGGGTGTTTACGGTTTCAAGACCACTTCCCCCATGAGTTTACGGCCGTAAACTCATGGAAGTGGTGTCATTGGGTGTTCAAAGGTCCTAACCCACTCAAAGAATTAAGCTAGACTCGAATCAAGGGCTTAGGAAGTGACTAGGGCTCAAAATGGACACTTTTTGGAGTTTACGGTCCTTGGACCACTCCCTTGGGAGTTTACGGTTGTAAACACATGGGTTTACGACCGTAAACTCATGTTTGTCCATTTCTCTTAAGTTTTGGTGGTTCTATCATATGCATGCAAGGTTATAGTCACTTATACAAGCATAGGAAGGTGTTAAGGGCACTTAAACACCCTTAAAAGGTGTTTACGGTTTTGGGAGACCTTCCCAAACCGTAAACTCGTGTTTGTCCATTCCTTTCATGTTCTTGGGGTTTCTATTTCATGTATGTAAGGTTCTATTCCTTTATACAAACATTAGAAGGCATTAGGGGCATCTAAATACCTTTTGGAGGTGTTTACGGTTCTTGAAGATCTTCTTGAACCGTAAACACATATGATCATGGGATTTTGATGATTTTCAAGTGTAAACAAGTTCATATTAAGCACACCAGAAGCAAGGGCAAGTGTACTTACGATTTAGGAGCTTGAATGATCGATTTTGGCCAAGAACACTAGTGTGTGTTCTTGGTGTTCTTGAAGAACTGATCCGTGTATGGATAATGAAGGCCCAAAAGGTTATGGGTAGCTTAATATTGGGCTCGAAAGTTGTTTGGGCTTAATGGCCTATGGGGTGTGCATGGTGACGTAGTTGATGGTTTAGGGTTTTCTTAAGTAAATTAATAAAAGATTAATAAATCCAAGACTTCATTGATTGTTTGATTCAAAGCTTGGGTGGTTATGGAAGCATTTGGAAGGTTATCATTGATGGCCCTCTTTAAATTTTGGGAGTTACACTCTTATCATTGATGGCTCTCTTTAATCATTGGGAGTTACACTCTTTACATCTTCTCATAACCAATTACTAGCAATTGAAGAACAATTGAAGACATGGACGTTTTTTTTGTTACTCTTAAATGTGGTAGATGTTTTTTTGTGTTATTTCAAGAGTTTCCTTAATTTTCATTTACTAGTTTTAATGAGTAGTTGGTTGGTTGGCTTGTAACCACCAAGTTTGTAATAATGGCTTCATATAAATCCAAGTTTATGCATGCAAAAAGTAATAGACGAATTTTAATAAAAAGTACCTTTTTGTTCACTTTGAATTATTGTCATAGTTCACAAATTATCATCTTTTGGACGTGATCCTTGAGTTGATCGAATTCAAGCTAATAGGTCTTAGTTTGTCTTCAGATTTACAAGCTATAGGTCTAGTTTGTTTATCAAATCTATCATTTTATTGTTTTTCTCTCAAACACTATTCAATCTTAATATAGAATAGCTTTGATACCACTTATGATGCGTCTATGAGCTGTTCTACATTAAGATTGAATAGTGTTTGAGAGAAAAACAATAAAATGATAGATTTGATAAACGAACTAGACCTATAGCTTGTAAATCTGAAGACAAACTAAGACCTATTAGCTTGAATTCGATCAACTCAAGGATCACGTCCAAAAGATGATAATTTGTGAACTATGACAACAATTCAAAGTGAACAAAAGGGTTCTTTTTATTAAAATTCGTCTATTACTTTTTCCATGCATAAACTTGGCTTTATATGAAGCCTTTATTACAAAGTTGGTGGTTACAAGCCAACCAACCAACTACTCATTAAAACTAGTAAATGAAAATTAAGGAAACTCTTGAAATAACACAAAAAAACATCTACCACACTTAAGAATAACAAAAAAAAACGTCCATGTCTTCAATTGTTCTTCAATAACTAGTAATTGGTTATGAGAAGATGTAAAGAGTGTAACTCCCAATGATTAAAGAGAGCCATCAATGATAAGAGTGTAACTCCCAAAGTTTAAAGAGGGCCATCGATAACCTTCCAAATGCTTCCATAACCACCCAAACTTTGAATCAAACAATCAATGAAGTCTTGAATTTATTAAACTTTTATTAATTTACTTAAGAAAACCCTAATCCATCAACCACGTCACCATGCACACCCTATAGGCCATTAAGCCCAAACAACTTTCGAGCCCAATATTAAGCTACCCATAACCTTTTGGGCCTTCATTATCCATACACGGCTCATTCCCTCCTTCTTCGAATGGAATTGTCCTCAATTCAGTAAGAACCAAATTGTGTTGTTCCCCCATACGAACCTTCCATGACAGAAAGTCTTGAAAACAATTTGTTATTGCATAATGTAACATTTTCTTTACTCCAACTTGGTCTTTTCTCCACATACACATGTTCTTCTTCAAATAACTCACCAAATTCAATCTTAACCGTATCTTCCATTTGTGGATGAAAAACCACTTCCGTACATTCCCATGAACTTGAACCTGCAAATTAACCTTGCAATAATTTAAATGGTTAATTGTAGTCATTTTAAAGAATGGGTCATGGTTTGTATTTGTAAGTTGACGAGCATCATGCCCCAATATCACAGCTTCCCAATTAAAGGCACACCAAAAGAATATGAGTCCAAACATCATGAGCTCCCTCCTATGTAAATAATTAGGACTTGCATCTTCAGATTTTCTCTTAGAAAGATGGTTTGTAAAAAGATGGATACCATCCTTCTTCTTTCGTTCCCAACAAACTTCACGCCATCGGTCTTGGTGTTTTTGAACAATGAATGAAGAATTAATGAAAATATGTTTTGTTTGTGGACAACATAGAAAATGGGCATAAGAATTGCCACGCAATGCCTCTTTTGGTGACTGATTGATACCACCATGAACACATATTTTTTTGGAAATCATCATAATGTCTTTTGAAGGGTACAAAATTCTGCCATCATCCAAAAATAATTGGTCTTGCTGTTTTTGAGCCACGAATGAAAAGTCTCCATCTCTAATTGCACAAAACTTTTTATCAAAAGTAATACACAAGTCTTTTTTCTCCTTTTGATCAATGAACGAAGACAAAACAAAAACATCATTATTAAGATGATAATTAGTAAAATCAAACCTCTCACCATACTTCGTCCTCTCTCCAAGGTCTTCAAAATGCAAAATATAAGCATTCCATGGCCTCCAAAGTGTAAAAATCTCCCACACTTTGAAATGAAAATGAAGATGAAAAACGAATAAACCTTCTTGATCAATGAAGCTTCCAATTTGGATTTCTTTAAGATCTTTAGAAAAGAAATTATGTTCATAAAAGATATGAGAACCTGAATTTTTGTGACACTTATAATCATTTGTTCTCGTGGTTGTAAGCTCTTGGAATGAAATTTGTTGTTCAAAAAAAATCACAATTTCTTCAACAATTCTGTCCATATCAACAAAATTGATTTCTTCCACAACTGCTTCAACAAATTCATCTCCGATCACGAAATTAGTTTCTTCTTCAATTTCTTCAATAAATTCCTCTTCAACCAAGAAATTTATTCTTTCACAAAATTCCCCTTCTCCATCGGTGTCGTACATGGGACCGGAATCTTCTTCCTCCTCTTCTTCAAATTTATCTTCCTCTATTTGTTCTTCATCATATAATTTGCGCAACATTTTTGGACAATAACTTCTGAACAACTAAAATAAAAAAATAGCAAGAATTTTTCTTGAATAAGAACTCAGTTACACCCAATTGGAACAAGGCTCTGATACCACTTATGATACATGTATGGTTGTTTTGTATTGAGATGGAATAATGTTTGAGATGAAAACAATAAAATGATAGATTTGATAAACAAACTAGACCTATAGCTTGTAAATCTAAAGACAAACTAAGACCTATTAGCTTGAATTCGATCAACTCAAGGATCACGTCCAAAAGATGATAATTTGTGAACTATGACAATAATTCAAAGTGAACAAAAGGGTTTGTTTTATTAAAATTCGTCTATTACTTTTTCCATGCATAAACTTAGCTTTATATAAAGCCTTTATTACAAAGTTGGTGGTTACAAGCCAACCAACCAACTTCTCATTAAAACTAGTAAATGAAAATTAAGGAAACTCTTGAAATAACACAAAAAACATCTACCACACTTAAGAATAACAAAAAAACATCCATGTCTTCAATTGTTCTTCAATTGCTAGTAATTGGTTATGAGAAGATGTAAAGAGTGTAACTTCCAATGATTAAAGAGAGCCATCAATGATAAGAGTGTAACTCCCAAAGTTTAAAGAGGGCCATCAATGATAACCTTCCAAATGCTTCCATGACCACCCAAGCTTTGAATCAAACAATCAATGAAGTCTTGGATTTATTAAACTTTTATTAATTTACTTAAGAAAACCCTAATCCATCAACTACGTCATCATGCACACCCCATAGGCCATTAAGCCCAAACAACTTTCGAGCCCAATATTAAGCTACCCATAACCTTTTGGGCCTTCATTATCCATACACGGATCAAGAACACTTGAAGATATATGAAAAAGACAAGATTTCATGGATGACATGTTGTATAAACACTAGATTAAGTGTTATATGAACGATTCTAGGAAGAAGGCACTTACATTTTGGCGGATTTAACGGAAAAGTGCTATGATACTTGAGAAAGTTTCTTGGGTGTTCTTGAACTAGGAAGTGAAAAATGAGCTAAAAATGACTAAGTGTCATATTTATACTCTCGAGGGTTTACGGTCGTAAACTCCATGTTTACGTCCGTAAACTCCAAACTTTTGGAGTTTCGCGACTTACGTGATACACGGCAAACTCTAAAATATACTTCCTTCTTTTTGATCGCTCGACGAATATAAAATAAAATATTCACACGGGCTTAAATCCGGCCAAAAATGTTTTGAGATGAATTTGGCTAATTTTTGAAGTGCTTGATTGCGGAGTTTATACAAATGAAAATTTCGGGTTGTCACACCTAAAGTTGGGAATGCGGGAAGAGCAGGGAGACTATTTGCTATTGGCCACAATGAAGTCGTGGCAGACCCCACAGTAGTCACGGGTACGTTCCTTCTTGATAACTCTTATGCTTGTATCCTATTTGATAGTGGGGCAGAGAGGAGCTTCGTAAACCAAAAATTTAAACACTTACTTAATCAAGCACCGCAAGCACTAAAAGAAACCTTCATCGTAGAAATGGCCAACGGAAAGACAGAGAGTTCTAACGAGATTTACATAGGTTGCACCCTCACGCTAGATAATCATTCATTTCCAATCGACCTCATACCTGTATCAATCAAAAGTTTCGATGTCATTGTGGGCATGGACTGGTTGAGTCTCCATTGTACTGATATTCTATGCTTCGAGAAGGCAGTCCGCCTAAATCTATCGAATAAGGAAAGCTTGTTGATCTACGGAGACAAACCCAGTACGAGCCTTCGTATCATCTCGAGTATTCAAGCCCAGAAGTACTTGCGTAAGGAATATCATGCATTCCTTGCACATGTAGTCGATGCGAACCAGAAAACAAAAGACCTGAAAGACCTCCCCGTTGTACGCGACTTCCCCGATGTCTTTCTGGAAGAGCTACCAGGTTTACCTCCCCAATGTCAAGTCGATTCAGGATCGACTTAGTTCCAGGGGCTACCCCCGTAACCAAATCGCCCTATCGTCTAGCACCTGCTGAGATGCAAGAACTATCCGGTCAACTTAACGAACTGCTCAGCAAGGGCTTTATAAGTCCAAGCTTCTCACCTTGGGGAGCACCAGTCTTGTTCGTGAAGAAGAAAGACAGATCGTTCCGTATGTGCATCAATTACAGGGAACTCAACAAACTTACGATCAAAAATCGTTACCCTCTTCCTCGCATAGACGAGTTATTTGACCAGCTGCAAAGGGCGAGCTACTTTTCTAAGATTGATCTAAGATCTGGGTACCACCAGTTACGAGTGCTGGAGGAGGATGTTCCGAAGACAACCTTCCAAACTCGTTACGGACACTGCGAGTTTGTAGTAATGCCGTTCGGATTGACTAATGCGCCTGCAGTATTCATGGACTTGATGAATAGGGTATGTTGTCCTTACTTGGATCAGTTCATCATTGTTTTCATCGACGACATACTTATCTACTCTCGAAGTAAGGAGGAACATAGCAATCATTTACAATAAGTCCTAGGAACCTTACGATCAGAGAAGCTCTATGTGAAGTTCTCTAAATGAGAATTTTGGATTCGAAGAGTCGAATTCTTAGGACACGTGGTTTGCGAAGAAGGAATCCACGTGGATCCATCCAAAATTAAAGCTATTGAGAACTGGTCAGCACCAAAGATGCCTATGGAAATTCGTCAATTTCTTGGCCTCGCTGGCTACTACAGCAAGTTCATACAAAACTTCTCTCGAATTGAGAAACCCCTTACGACATTGACCCAGAAAGGCGTGGCCTTCGACTAGGAAGAGAAACAAGAGAAGGCGTTCCAAACGTTGAAGCGAGCCTTATGCACCACACCGATACTATCCCTCCCCGAAGGGATAGACGGCTTCGTGGTATACTGCGATGCATCCAACCAGGGGCTTGGTTGTTCTCACACCCCAAAATTAGAACAGCGGAATCGTTCGGGGGTGGAGGACGTCATGTACAGTATCACAACAATGCAAAGTAGTAAACAAGCAACAACATCATCCATTGCATTAATAATATAATTTCATACAAGTGTGTTCTGTCAAGTTATATAGACACCAAAAATAATATACATCAAAATAAAGATGAGTCTTGAACGAGTTCCATCTTCTCAAAAACCTGGCTCCGGTACCTGTCTACTGCGACCTGAGAATACAAGCTATTTTGAAAGAGTTTATCAGCTTTTAAAGCTGGTGAAATCATAAGTATATTAGTGTCTGCAGTTGTATGAAAGTGTTTGTTAGTTTGTAACTATATATGTTTGTAAAAGTTTGTAATTGTTTGAACTCTCCAAGAAAACCCTATGTTTCCTACTAAAAGTAGCATTCTACCAAGGCATTTAGTATCTGTGTGTGTGTCTCTTGTTAGAGTGTGTATTTTCCCAAATCTGACTATCATTATCCAAAAATATAGTTTTTACATTATTCTTTATTGTGTAAATATCACAAAGTAAATGTAATGGGAAAATGTTATAGTACTGTAGTGTTGTATTAAGTAACTACTGTTGTACTAACTACTTTAAACCAATTGTTATTTAAAGTATCATGTGATCGACCTGTATCCTGCTACCGACTCTAGTAAAACGACGATGTAAGACGCCGTAAGAAATGACATTTGGCACCCGTAGACTTGCAAGTCCCACTATAGCGAGCAGCAAGGTGTAGGATAGTCAATCCAGTATAGATCTATACAAAAACTCATACGCTCCCCAATTAAGGAGATTCTGGATACAAAAACAGTCATGGCAGGTAGTGCCATGCCTCGTTTAGTGGCTCACATAAATGTAATAATGTATATGTAATGAATAGATGAATTTTATGTTCTCCCTCTATCTAGCCTATATGTTCTCTCTTTATGGTATTGTTTGTTATCTCTTTCTCTGTATGGTATTGTTTGTTATCTCTTTCTCTGTATGGTATTGTTTGTTATCTACTCTGTATGGTATTGTTTGTTATCTACTCTGTATGGTATTGTTTGTTATCTACTATGTATGGTATTGTTTGTTATCTACTCTGTATGGTATTGTTTCATATATGAACTGACTCTTTGTATGTTTCATTGTTCTAGTAATAGTTTTAGTATCTTCCTAAACTACTCCTATAGTAGCTTACTATTAATGTATGGACATGTTTGTATAGCCTTGCTACCCAAAGGTATGGAACTGAATGAAAGACGTAACCTTTTATATCTATATACATATACATAATATATAACTAGGATTTAAACGACCTTCAGACAATTAACCTTGATATCCTAAGTCCACAACCAAACAAGGAACATGAAGTAAGGTAGGCTAGTAGTCCTAAGTCCTTTCAATCCTACTTATATAATATCTACATAGATACACTGAATATAAGTTAAAAGAGTTTAAATAAAGTATTTGATATGAAAAGGAGTTTGTAAGACAGTTTGAAGTAAAACAGTTTGGTAACACAGTTTGAAAAGTAAGAAATCCACTTGTTTGGTAGTTATTAATCACATGTGATTGATGTAATAACTATAATTGTTCAGCTTATATTCCCCCCCCCCATAAAAGCATTTAAAAATAATTAAAAGGTTAATTAACGGGTATGAACTCACCTGTAGTGAGTGGTTTGGATGAACGGACTGTATATGATGCTAAGTGTCAAGTGAAGACTTGTACACACTCAATGATCCTAGTTAACATATAATAACATATATACGTATCCAATTAGTCTTTAAACAACTAATTAACAAAGTTAAGACATCCGAGGACCTGTAAAACACCTTATATAAGTGTTATAAGTCCTAAGGGTTGCATCTAAGGGCTACATGGCATGGCATTGGAGTTTATGGCCCAAGAACCACTCCTTATGGAGTTTACGGCCCTAGGTCACTTCCCCCATGAGTTTACGGCCGTAAACTCATGGTACTTAGTGCCATTTGATGATTTAAGGCCTTATAAGTCAAGAGTATGCATTCCATGATCAAATCCAATCCTTAGGAAAGCATTAGGGCACAATAA